CAGTGAGATGGGATTTGCATTGTGTGTGCTGGGAGCCAAGGTGACTGAGGTTCAAGGATAGCTCATGGAATCTTCATTGTGACTTTATGCATGAGTGCCATCATTATAACCATTACCAGATGAGGAGCCTGAGGCACCAAGAGGCTGTTGGTAGCTTCCACACAGGTAGCAACAAATAGAAGAACCAGGATTTGGATCTGGGTCTCTCAGACATCAGGGTGATTGAAATATATCAGTCAGGAAAATCCTTTGATTGTTCCAATTACAGAGCTCTGGAAATACCAGCAATCTAGTATTTGGCTGTTTAAACATGCTTCTCTCTCGTTTCACTATCCCCATCTCAGATTTTTGTTAAAAGCCGGGACTCACATCCCCACCAATGAGATCTTCCCCGACCTCCATTCTGCAAACCCATTCCACCCATTTTTACAATCTTTATTGGCTCCTGACATTTATACAAACATCCCACCTCTGAACAAAGCTCTAAGATTGTTGAGGTTGGCCTCTTTCCTTTCCCATCAGTTTCCTCCACTTCTCCACATGGATCCTCTGTGGCAGGCCAGCGGCTTCTCATTGCTGTCCAAAAACGAAGAGCAAGTCTCACTTCCAGGCCCTGCTCTCCAGCTTCTGGTGTCTTCCTTGTGATGCTCACATTTCCCTGAACCCTCTCTGCCTTTGGATGTCTCCCTGCCTCTAGGATGCTATCTCAGCAGGTCCTAACCCACAGTGGCCCTTCCATGAGTCTCCTTAGAGAACCTTCTCATTAACCACTCTGGGTAGCTTGTCTGGCTTCATGCCCAGTCCTGTTCTCTGGAAATGTGATAATTATGGGACTGCCTCACAGGGCTCTTATGCTGATCAAAAGATGTAAAACTTGTACAAACATGATAAACTTAGCCCAGGACTTGGCACAAAGCTATAAGGCAAGTGTTCAATAAATGAAAATACATTATTGATTAAATAATTAAGATGTGTATCTATTGTTTCTCTTATTGCCAAAATCTGATAGAATTAGTTTTTTTTAATCTGTCAAAAATAGGGAAGGAAGGGTGACTTTGGTTCACAGTTTGAAGGTCAAGTCCATCATGGTGGTGGAGGTTTGACAGTGGGAATGTGAGGCAGTTGGTCACATTGCATGTGTAGTTAGAGAACCAAGCACTTGACGTTTTCATCTGTCTGGAATTCCAACCCATGGGATGCTGCCACCCTCCTCAGTTAAATCTGTCTTGAAACAGCTTTAGACATTCCCAGAGATGTCTCTCCTAAGAGATCCTAAGTCCAGTCACATTGACAATGATGATTAACCAGACTATCATTTCTAAACAACAATCTGTGTTGTTTTAACTTGACTTTCTCATAATGGTACAACCTCTTGAGAATGAGGTTAAGTTGTAAACACTTACACAGAGCCTTAAGCACTAAAGGTCCTGGGAAATGCATGGTGAGGGTGGGCAGAAAAGCTCCAAGTGGGAGTAGGATCCATTCTCCATCAAGATTAGTTCTGCTGCTAGCTGAGTGTGGGGCTTTGACTTGCCTTCTTGGATTCATCCCAGTTTCTTTCTCTCTATACAACACCTAACATTGTGTTTGAACTCAGGGCCATACTTAGTCCCTGGTACTGATTCTTTGTATTCCCTTGGGCTCATCTTTTTATCCTCCTAGTTCTCTGTCTTTCCACCCAGGACACAGAGAATCACATTTCATTCCTAGCACTGAGCCTATATAAACGAGAGATCATGGGAAGTGATCCCTTTAGTGCTTAGCCAATGACTGCTCTTAGCGGTGTATTTCCATTGCTGTTTTGTTGATAAACTTGTTGGCTCTCAAAGGTTTATGGTAACAGATAATACAGATTTGGTGGATCGAATCAAAGAGGTGTGTTGTGTCCCAGAGGCTCTTAGGAGTCCTAAATCAAGAGCCATGAAAGAGACAACTGCTGGTGGTTTCAGGCCTGTTATAGTGCGTAGATGGCATTGTCTGTGAGTGTTCACATTATCTTCCCTCCAAGCACATCTGTCTCCACATCTGTATTTGCTTTGTTCATAAGGTCACAGTTGCTTTAGGCTCACCCTGATGTCTTGTTTAATCATTCCTGTAAAACCTTGGTGTGTGTGTGTGTGTGTGTGTGTGTGTGTGTGTGTGTGTGTGTGTGTGTGTGTGTGTGAATGCTAAGGCTAGAAAAGGTCAGTGGGTATCTTTCTCACTCTCCCCCCACTTATTTTGTTGAAACAGGATCTCTCACTAAAACTGGAGCTCACATGCCAGTTTAATTTTCCTGTAGGCTAAAGGCCAGCAAGTCCAAGAAGCCTCCTGTTTTCTTGACACCCACAAGCATCCTGTGCATTTGAACTCATACCTTTATGCACCAAGCACTAACTCATCGAACTTTCTCCCCAGCCTCAGACTCTATTCTTTGAGATAACACTCTAAGATCCTAAGGGTCAGGGTTCAATTTATCTTTTCTGAAGGAAGCAATTGAACCCACAATGTTGCAAATGACTAATTGGTGTTCTCTAGAAAATGTTATATTGCAATAAAATAAAATGAAGTAGCTTGTCATTTCTCAATAAGATAGAAGCTTCAGGAAACACTGAAGAGCACTTGACAGTGGACTCTTTGCTTCATTGCACTTGACATTCACAGCTGTTTGTTTAGCCAGCTAGGGTTGAGTGGGGTTAGTTTTGACAAAGACCTGTTTCTTTCACAAAGAAGTCCCAGAATCTTTTACCCAAATGGTATTTCCCACATATGCTTTTGGAACTGAAATCTTTCATTCCTGGCCAGTGACATTTTTGTGGGGCTTCCAGAATAGAGACAGATCTAAGGCAGCTGGCACACTGTCTCCATGTGACAGCATGCTGCAAACGCCCCTACTGTTTATGTGTGATATATTATCCTCCTAGGGTTCCTTGATGCATGCAATAAAAACCAATGTAGAATATTAATCTGACATGATCCAGGCCAGCCTGGACCAATAGAAGTTTATTTACTGGAGATGTGATTTACTGCTCCTTTAGAACTACTGCTCCAGGTCCCCTGGGTTGGTAGTGATGCTAATGAAAAATAAAATTTCCAGACCTGATTTCTACACTACAGTTCTTCTGAGGGACAGGTCCTAGGATTCCATTTCTAATGGGCCACCTGGGTGGTTCTCACTCACTCTGTGTTTGAGATCCAGTGTTTTCTGTTATTCTCCCAGGAAAACATGCATTGTATGATTGGGATTAGATGATTCCCAGAGCCCGAGTCTGTCCAAGGCTGAAGGTAGGAAGATCCAGGTGGCATGTGTAGGGCAGAGAACCTGGAGAAGGATGGGCTGTGGGCAGGTGAGGCATCTGTCAACTGTGGCAAGGGAAGTGTGTGCAGCCTAGTGTGAGATTGTGAGATGACATCTATTGAATATGGGGAAGGACAGTGGGTTCCAAGTATGGATGGAGGCCTCATTAGGGTTGATGGCTATGAGTTTGGCAGGTGGGCTGAACTGAGGAATGGGTTTCTGTCAGCTCTGAGGGGAGGAAATCTGAATATCTTTCTCAAGTCAGAAAACCTGGCTCCTGGGCACAGCTGGAGTAGAGAATTGTGAGGGAGGGGTCTATCCTGAACTGCTGAGGGCCTGCTCAGTGAGGTGGGGCCTTGGTCTACTTGGGAAGCTGTGTGAAAATTCAGATTTGTGATGTTCAATTGGTCCTTCTACGAGCTCTGGGGACTGCATTTTCAAAGTCCCCATGTGGTACAATGTGTCAGTCACCCAGGACATCACTTAGGACACAGCCTGTAAAGAACTGTGGACCCTGCAGTGAATTAGCCTAGCTTTGTGGCACCCTTGTTTCTGTTACTAACCTTCTCCGAGCCATGCTTGCTTTATCCATTAGATGAAATAGTCATGTTCTCCACACTCTTCCATCCCCTCCTCTCTTTCTTTCATTACTCTTCCCTGCCTCCTCTGGTTCTCAGGCTGCAGTTCACTTTTAGGCTGCATTTGGGTACATGGTAAGCATCATCCAATGATGGTACAAACCTTGGGAGACTTGAGATTCTAGAAGAATCTTGAATGTTGAACTCAACAGAGGGGCCCAGTAATTAGTATTTGGTTATAAGTCAGTGTCTTGGCCATTGACAAAGCTGGTTCCTGGTTTTCCAGAACTAGAACTAGGAAAAGAATGTTGCCCAAAATGATATTTACACTCAGGCTGGGTACTTGAAATATAATCTTATGCATTAACTATGAATGAGAACACCAAGGCTCAGAAAGAGGTGTGTACCTTCATGCCTTTGATACATTAGAGTCATGTCTCACAAAGATCCAGGAAACATGCTCTGGGCCTCAGACTCTCTTGTTCTTACCATTTGAGTCAAGTACAAAGTCAGAGTGGCCTTTAGCCACAGGGCTGATCTCAAAAGTGAGATAGGCCTCTGAGAAAGCTATCTAGGATATTTCTGTGCTCTACATTTTAGATGTAAAGTGGTACAGTTACTTCACAATCAAGTTGGAAAAGCATGCATTTTCACAACAGAGAGTGACCTGTAAGATACTGCCACTGTTGCCAAAAGCTTGCCAAGTTGAAAGAAAACCCATAACACAAAATTGCCTTGTTCTGTAAATCCCTTGACCCCTTCCTATTGCATTCCTGTGGAAGGGCTGACCTTTGACTTTCATCCAGTTCTTCAGAACTCAAAAAAGCTCTCTGGCCAGGGTTTTCCTTCACCAGTCTCACTGATTCAATCCTCATTAGGCTCATGTGCCTAACTGAGACCTGCTTCACCTTACACACAAAGTGTGGGTATTAGTAAATCCATTCGTTTACTTCAGAGACCATGTCAGGATCTCAGCTTTTTGTAACTATTCCTTTTCCTGTCTCTGTTCACAGGGCATAACCTTCAGTAGAAGGACAAATCACCACAGCCAGTAAGCTGCCACCTTGCCAAAGAGAGCAGCTGGACTCGTTTTAATCAGCACTTCCCAGCACAAGCCTCTGGGTCACAGAAGAATAGGCCAGAGTCTGAAATTTTCCAAAGACATTTAACATACACTGAGTGCAAAAGGCCACTTAGGTTGTCTTTGTATGAATCCAGTTGATTTGAGAAACAAATTAAAAAGGTACCGCCTTCACTGAAGACTTCACATGGGCATACTCTCTGTTTCAACCATATTATAGATGATGGTTATTGGAACAGCCCAAGAATTTACCACGGAGCAAAAGAAATAGCTTGAGAGGCTATCAGAACACCCCAGAACAGAGGAAATGGATGACTACAGGTATCGGGACAACTATGAGGGCTATGCCCCCAGTGACGGCTACTACCGGGGCAATGAGTCAAACCCAGAAGAAGATGCCCAGAGTGATGTTACAGAAGGCCATGATGAAGAGGATGAGATCTACGAGGGCGAGTACCAGGGCATTCCTCATCCAGATGATGTCAAGTCAAAACAGGCTAAGATGGCACCTTCCAGAGCAGATGGCCTTCGGGGCCAGGCAGACATGATGGCTGAGAGGATGGAAGATGAGGAGCAGTTGGCCCACCAATATGAGACCATCATTGACGAGTGTGGCCACGGACGTTTCCAGTGGACCCTCTTTTTTGTCTTGGGTTTGGCCTTGATGGCTGATGGAGTGGAAGTATTCGTGGTGAGCTTTGCCCTGCCCAGTGCAGAGAAAGACATGTGTCTGTCCAGTTCCAAGAAAGGAATGCTTGGTAAGTAGGAACTTCCAAAGATGACATCAAATATATGAAAGTAAAGGAGAATATATATATATATATATATATATATATATATATATATATATATACATATATATATATATCTTCATTATATATGTATGTATATACACAATACACACAATATATATTCTGTCATCGTTAGATATCTTAAATATGCCATGGTATCCTGCAAAGTTATACTTTTATAGTCATTTACCATTAAGGTGTTATTGTCTTATAGAAATAAATTAATCAATTGACTGGCTCAAATTTACATAGCTAGTATCAAAGCTTGATTTTCTTTTCAAATCTGTTTGATTCTTAGCTCTTTCTTTGATCCCCAAATGTTGTTCTCCTATAAAACATCTTCTGTATCCAAGTAACAATACATTTTGGAAGGGGTAAGACAGAGGTCTCTTCCATCATTCCTCCTTTATGTGTCTTCCCAGAATCCAATGGCAACTGTTCCCAGCTTCTCTTGTACTAAGAGGGAGTGGCTGAGTGCCCATGTGCCTTGGCTAACTGTTGAGCTTGGGCTTATCCACAGAGTCCATGCAGGCAGTTGAGAACCATGGTGTGAATCACAGATGGATTCTGAAGGATGGATGACAGCAGACCAGCACTGGCAGCGCCAAGCCTCAACCATCAGAGCTTTGGGCAGAGAGGATTTTGTGAACGTAGAGAGGGCATGGGCACACATGGTGTGGAATAGAAGAGATTCATCATAATAAAGCTAATGGCTTGTCTTGGTCCCCAGATGTCCCTAAGTAGTCATATCTACTCTCTAAGAGCCCAGGAAATATGAAGCTATTGAGAACTTCCTGTGAGTCAGTTTTTCATTCAAGATGAAAAATACTTGATGGCCCTCAGGAGTTCAAACCCTGTTCAGCCACCAAACTCATCAATTCAACAAATTGGTACATATTTTTGGTCTACAGAAGGATAGCACCTGTGACACAGTTTCTGGAGAGAAAATATCATGTTTCTTTACAAATATATATATATAAGGTCTTCAAGAACCCAGAAAAGACTTAATAACTTCAGGAAACTTTAGAGTATGCCTGTGTGATTCTAGACCTTGACTTTGGAGACAGAGTTAGCAAACATTTCTGAAAAGACTGAGAGAGTAAACATTTTTGAAGCCCAGATGGCCTCTGCCACGACTATCCAAATCCATCGCTGTAGTCAAAATCATCCAGAGACAATATGTAAACAAAATGGATGCAACTGCACTTAGGAGGTGGGGGCAGGAGGACCGTGAACTTGAGGGCACCCTGTGCTGTTTAGTGAGACTCTCACAAAATCTGAAAAAAACTAAAGATGTTTATGCAGAGAAACATGAAGAATTATCACTGAGAAACAAAACAACAGCAACCAAAAACTCCAGAAGTAGCCAAACAAAAAGAATGGCACTGGGCCATTAAAACTTGTCTTATACATTTATGCTTAGCTATAATCACATTTAAAATGATTACAACTGCATCAGACATGGCCAGGAAAATTAAAGGAGGCTGAGTATGTACAACCAGTCAGTATATCTAAAGGAAAAAAATGCTTTGAGAAGCTGGGAAGTCTGTCAGCTTTTTAGAAGCCAATAAAATTTAGCTGTGTGTGTGTGTGTGTGTGTGTGTGTGTGTGTGTGTGTGTGTGTACATACATACTACCCAAACTTAAATATTAAACAATATATTTTAAATAATTAATTTATTTGCATTTTATGTTCAGGTGTCTTGACTGCATGTATTCCTGTGTGTGTATCAAACATCCTGGAACCAGAGTTGCCATGTGGGTGCTGGGAATTGAACCTGGGTCCTCTAGAAGAGCAGGCAGTGCTCTCAACTTCTGAAGCATATCTCTAGCCCTGAATAGTTGATTTTTAAAAGGGCAAACAAAAGAACAAAATTCCCAACTGAAACCAGTCCATCCCTAACTGACTTTTGAAGCCATCAATTTGTTTTGTGCTGTTCCCAACTGAAACCCAAGTCCCTGTTTATTCTGGCGATGTCAATAATGCTTTAATGCCTATAAGTCTCTCTGGCACCACAGTGCCCAGCAACCTCATTAGCAGAACTACAGTATCAGGTCCGCTCCAGCCTCTTCCAGGGCCAATGCTGGGTAGGAGCCAAGGGAAGGTGGTTATGGTCTGGAAAGCTTGCATTGGTGTAATTTTGCCCCATGTTTACCAAGAAGATGCTATGACTCAAACTGAGAAGGGCACATAGATCCTGAGCAGAAATTCCCACCAGAATCATTTAGAGGTGAGTCTAAGTGAATCCCGGTAGGTGGATGACTGGGAGTCTCAGAGTTGCCTTGGAGGCTGCCCACATGACGAAAAAGACCCAGAGAGCCTTGTCTGAGAAAGTGCCAAGCAGGGCGCGATGGCAGGATGGCAGTCTTTGAAGTCTATGCTCACTCTTTTGTACCATCCTGATTTTTCCTTATGCATAGGTTATGGGAAAGAAGCTACACCCCAGAGCAGGCTTCCCTCCATGTGGGATCATGCTACAGTGGAGAATGACTGGAGCATTGGTGTTTTGATCATGGGAGTTTGGCAGCTAGCTATATCATTATCAGTTAGTGACTTAGGGCAAGTTCCAACTCCAGCAACTCAGTTTTCCTGAGGAACAAGGAAGGATAATGACACATTTGTTGTGAGGACTGAGATAATGCAGACAGAGCAACAGTATGGATGCTATCTAAACATCTCATCTCCCTTCCTTGTGCCATGCCACCATCCTGCCAGCACTGGCATGGATCCTGATTGTGTTGACATAATGGGGCAGCCTGAACATCAGGGCTTGGTTTGAATTAACACTCTGCTGATGCTTAGTGGGACAACCTCAGGCAAGTTACTCAGTTGCCTTGTGCTCTGGTTCCCTGCCCTGTAAAATGTGATGGTAATGCTTGTTGCATAGGATTTCTGTGTAGATGGACTGAATTTAACAGTATTGGACTTAATGTAGTTAACCTAGCTGTTTTACTATCTGCACCTCACAGGTGCTCAAGCTATCTTTATTGATTTTGATTGAAGTTGTTATTATTATTATTATTATTATTATTATTATTATTATTATTATTATACCAATTGTTTGGTAGTGATAAGCCACCCAAATGGAGGGCCAGATTTGCACTGATGACTTTGTACATATCCTTCAGCCAAAATGATGCTGAGTGGACCCTTAAGGTCAAACTGTTTGACCTTTGTGTTCCAACATTAACCTAGAGCTTTCTCTCTCCCATTTGTGTACTGTTTGTAAAAAACAAACAAAACAAAACAAAACAAAAACAAACAAACAAAAAAACAACAAAACAAAACAAAAAACTCTCACAAGCAAAGGCTCTAGCTTGACTCTCAGTGGCCAAGACAATAATACAGAGAACAACAAAGGTCTAATTCATAGATCATTCTTATTTTCTTGCTAGAAAGAAATTAATCAGTTCAGGAAAATTAAAGTTGCTCTCTTGGTATCTTAGTGGTTTCTCTTGAGCATTGTGTTTTAGTGAACCCCTCATAAACATCTGCCACACTGGGTAGAAAACAGGTTCAAGAAACTATGGCCAGCCCTGAATGCTCAGCCATGCTTCTATTCACCTTTAAGTCACCTTTAAGACAAGGAGAATGCAAGAATGCATCTACTTGTTAATTAAGCATGTCCTTCTTTCTTTTAATTACATGGGTGTATAGGTTCACATACATATGTGCACCCATGATTTGGGGGCTCAGAGTTTATTTGAAGCGTTCCCTTTGATCTCTTTCCACTTTACCTATCGAAGCAGGGCCTCTTGCTAAACCTTGCAGCTCACCTATTCTGGCTAGTTTAGCTAGCCAACTTGCCCTGGGAATCTCTTGTCTTTGCTCCCCAAGTGCTGGGACTCGGGTGGCTGTATGGCTGCCCAGCTTTGACATGCTTTCTGGGTGTCTGGACTCCAGTCTGAGCATGCCTTTCTTTATCCATTGAGCACTTGGTGCATTTCTTTTCCATTTTTTTTTAAGGAGCTGGAGTGTTGGCTCAGTGGGTAGGAGTACCTGTTGCTTTGTAGGGAAACTCAGGTTCAGTTTCCAGCATCTATGTGGCAGCTCATGATCATCTGAACCTCCAGTTCCAGGGCATCTGACATCCTTTTCTGGCCTTTCTGGGCACCAAGGATGATGGTGGTGCATTCACACACCTGCAGGCACAATACTCATGCACATAAAAGGAAAGCAGTCTCTTAAAGGTTTATAAAAAGGCTTTGGCAATTGCCATTCATTGAACCCAAGTACTAGAAACCTTAAGTGTGTGTTCCACTCTCAGAGCCATCCCTAGCCCTTTTCTTTCTTTCCTTCTTTTTTCTAAATTAATTTTTTTTTTGTAATAAGGTTTCATATAGTTCAGGATAGTCTGAAAGTTGTCATATAGCCAAGGATAGCCTTGAATCGCTGGTTCTTCTGCTTCTGCCTCCTAAATACTGAGATTATAAGCATGTGTCTCTATGCTTCACCTCTGACTAATTAAAGATACTTTATGTTTTATTATGTGCATGTGAGTGGGTATGCACATGTGAGTGTCATGCCTGTGGAGGCTAAAAGAAAACAGATCCTCTGGGGATGGAGTTACACAGGGTTATGAGTTGCTCAGTTTAACTTCTGCGAACTGAAGCCCAGTTCTATAGATGAATATCAAATGCTCTTAGCCACTGAGCCATTACTCCACCCCTCCCTTTATTCATTAAAAAATGTTGATCATTAATATGTGCCTGTTGCATCTCTGGTTGATAGAAATACAAGGCAAACATAGTGTTAGCATTCTGAGAGTTTTATTCTCACAAGAGCAATCAGAAAGTATGCGAAATACAGCCCAACAGCACAGGTGCATGGTGCAGTGTTCACTCACCTGTGCCACCTTTAGTAGGTGGGAAAGAAACCAAAGCAGTGTGTGTGGATGCATCTGAGGGGAGGGAGGCTTTCCTTCTGAAACACTATGATGCTAGGTCTCTCTCTCTATCTTTCTCCC